GATCCCGGGCGCGCACCGACGCACCGCTTCTCCGGCCATGCTGAGGCCGCGTCCCACATACAGCAACTAGAAGGATGTGCAGCTATGACAGACAACTATCTACTGGGGCTTTGGGGGAAAAACAATAAAATTAAATGTGAGTCTCAGGCAGGTGTGTACAGATGTCTATCACTTATTCCTGATTGGTCTTACTGAGTACACAGCTGCTACAGCCTTAGCTTCTTAACTTATCTGTGTTCCTGAAGGAAATTCCAGGGACGTGTCCACCCTAATAGCCTGAAGGTAATAGGAAGTTACTAGTGATTAAAAAGTTTGTCTTCCTGTGCTGGCGGTGACAAAGCAGAGAGCGGTGTTGGTTTGTCATTCATGGCCTCTGTCCTGATATTGCTCTAGAGCACTAACCTCTTAGCCCAGCCTTGTGCATTCAGAGGGTCATCTTGGTGAGCAGATAAGGTTTTTATGAAGGGAAGTACTGACAGAGAAGGGAAAGGAAGCAGTGAGATTGGATCGAGTGCTGCTTTCAGCGTCCTGCTTTCTTTTTCAGATGCTCCTTGGTGTGGCCACTGCAAGGCTCTGGCCCCTGAGTACGCCAAAGCAGCCGGGCAACTGAAGGCAGAAGGTTCCGAGATCAGATTGGCAAAGGTAGATGCCACTGAAGAGTCTGATCTGGCCCAGCAGTATGGTGTCCGTGGCTACCCTACAATCAAGTTCTTCAAGAACGGAGACACAGCTTCCCCTAAAGAATACACAGGTGTGACTGCAGCACTGCTCTTGAATTGCCTGTAGAGAGGGCTTTGTCCACAGGCCTTGGAAGATAGACTGAGAGGTGGGGAGGCCCATTTTCAGAGGCATGGAGGGGAACCTGTTCTTGGACTGGGTTCTCAGTCTAGTTCAGCCTCTTTAGGTTGTGTGAGGAAATTTCTTTCATCCCAGAATCTCTCAACTGGAAAGGGACATCTTGTGAGGGTGGATAGCAGGCTGAGGCTTGTCCTAAGATTGACGAGCGAGGAAAGGGAAGCTGGGGCTATTCTGACCACATGGAGCAACAAGTGTGGCGATTGCTGACCATCGAGTATGCCAGCCACCAAGGCAAGTGCTGAGGGCCTTTTCCAGGGGGAGAGCTGAGGCTGAGAGCAGCCGAGTAACAGGCCAATGTCACCTGCCTGTCATGGCAGAGCTTGAATTCAAGCCCAGCTCTGTCTGTGGCACAAGCCCTCAGCCCCTGCTCAGCACACCTCTGAGGCTGCTTTCTTGGGGGCTGGACCCCTTTGTAGCCCGCCGGGTCAGTACCAGTGACAAAAGGAGAATCTTTTGTCTGTAAAACCAGTTCCGTGGCTCATCTGTCAGAATTTTCTGGAGCAGCCCATCTTGTTAATTCTGAGGTCAGCAACTCTGATCCTCTCCGTGTTCTGTTGTTCCTGTTTTTATTTGTTTTCACTTTTGGAACCAGAAGTGCCTTGTCTGGAGTTACCATGATCCCGTCGCTAACACTCAGGTTTTGTAGATGAGACAGTTATTTCTTTTTTTTTTTTTTTAAAGATTTTATTTATTTTATTTTTTCCCCCCAAAGCTCCAGCAGATAGTTGTACGTCATAGCTGCACATCCTTCCAGTTGCGGCATGTGGGACTCGGCCTCAGGATGGACGGAGAAGTGGTGCCTCGATGCGCACCCGGGATCCGAACCCGGGCCGCCAGCATTGCAGCGCGCGCACTTAACCACCAAGCCACAGGGCCGGCCCGAGACAGTTATTTCTAATTTCCCCTGTAACTCATGACCCGGCTTTTGCTGCCACTCGGCAGAGTGGTTCTAAATGTGAGATTCAGCAGCTCTTCCCAAGTTGGACCAGGTAGTCAGACCCAATGAGGGGGAAGGAGAGTCATTAGCCTCAGTCCCAGGAGGATCAGGCTTCCTCCTCTTAGTTTCATCTGCTTTGGGTGGTGTCCAAGTGCGTGATCTCTTTCATCTTACTAGTCCCAGAGGTGTGTAGGGCAGGCCACAGCCGAGGAAGCTGACCAACCTGGGTGCATAAGGCAGGGCAGAGCTCAGCCTGTTTTCACCCGGGGAGGGCTGGCATTGAGGCCGACTTACTCATCAGCCTTTTTTTTTTTTTTTCCCTCCAATGTTACCACATCTCTAATTAAGATGAAACGTAGTGTAAGACCACCGGGGGGGGGGGAGGGGGGGGGTGGGGGGAGGGAGTGTGTGTGTGTTTAATGAATGTAAATGTCAAGGAAAATTTAGACAATGCAAAGGGATTAGGAAAAAAAGACTTGTAATCTTGTTATGCAGAGGTAACCACTGCCTTTTTCCCTCCTTTAAACACAACTGCAGTCTCTCACATACACAGAAAAGCCTTTGTAGCCCTGGAATTTGGACGGGTGCATAGACAAGATGCCTTGTTTGTGTAAGGATATCTTGCTCTGGTTTTGGCAGAGAGCTGAGATGAGGATGGGCGGGGAGGTAGGCCACCCTGGTTTCAAGTGGACCCTACATGTTTTTGGGTGCAGCTGGCAGAGAAGCTGAGGACATTGTGAACTGGCTGAAGAAGCGTACAGGCCCTGCTGCCACCATGCTGCCTGATAGGGTTGCTGCAGAGGCCTTGGTGGAGTCCAGCGAGGTGACCGTCATTGGTTTCTTCAAGGTAGAGTCTTCCGAATCATCTCAGGTCTTCTTACCCTGTGTTTGGAGGAGGGGGCCCCGTGGCCTGGGCACTGTGGTCTGCCCTGCTGCTGACCTGGGCAAGGGTCTTTGGTGTTGGGGCATGCGGCCACCTCTGGTTCTCTTCTCTAGGACGTGGAGTCAGACTTTGCCAAGCAGTTCTTGCTGGCAGCCGAGGCCATTGATGACATACCCTTTGGGATCACGTCCAACAGTGATGTGTTCTCCAGATACCAGCTGGACAGGGATGGGGTTGTCCTCTTTAAGAAGGTGAGTGGCCTGCAGGCAGCTCTGCCCAGGGTAGTGGAGGTGCTGCTCTGGGTGGGTAGAGTTGCTTTCCTTATCGCTGCAAGCACCTGGAGAACCTTGCCCAGGTGATGCCGAACCACTGGACCGCAGGACTGACTATCGAAGGTGACTTTTGCAACATCAGACCATAGGCACCAGTGAGACAGTGGCCTTCAGCCCTTCAGTTGTGGTTCCTTTGTTCTGGCTTCTGTGGCAGCCCCAGTGCTGTGTTTTATGAAATCAGAGCTGCTTTGGAGTGTTAGCTTTTTTTGAAAAAACCGTGGCAACACATATGTAACAAAACTTGCTGTTTTAATCATTTTTAAGTACGTGATTCAGTGGCATTAATTACATTTACATTGTTGTGCAACCATTGCTCCTTTTTCCGAAACTTTTTCTTCACCCCAAATGGAGACTCTGGAGTTTTAGCTCTTGGGGTGCATGTTCCCACCCTGATGGCAAAGCCCTGCCCACAGCCCCTCATCCTGCTGCACTTTCTCTTCGTAGAGAGCGCTGGTGCGGGTGTCTTGCCAGGATACATGTCTACATGGCATTACCGAAGGGGTGATGGGAGTCTCTCTCTCTCTCTCTCTCCCCCGCCTCTCTTTTTTTTTTTTTTTTTTTTGGGGAAGACCAGCCCTGAGGTAACATCCGTTGCCAATCCTCCTCTGTTTGCTGAGGAAGCCTTGCCCTGGGCTAACATCCTTGCCCATCTTCCTCTACTTTATATGGGATGCCGCCACAGCACGGCTTGGCAAGCGGTGCGTCGGTGCACACCTGGGATCTGAACCTGCGAACCCTGAGCCGCTGAAGCGGAACATGTGCATTTAACCGCTTGAGCTACCCGGCTGGTCCCGGGGTCTTTGTCTCTTATCTTAGCCACCAGACAGTGGGACTGGGGCCAGCCGAGCACCATGCTCTTGGAACACAGCTGTCCCTGGACTGGCTGATGGTGATTCATGCCATTCAGTAGCACGCTTCAGAGTGGAGGAGGAGAGAGCTGTGAGAGAAGGAACCAGAGGGCAGGCAGGGGCAGGAGGCATGTCTTCAGGGGTGGTGACAGGGCAGTTGACTCCTGTTTTGTCCCCATGGGAAGAAGGTAGGTTTAGAGTTACAGTGAAGTAGTAACCAGGTGGTCAGAAATGGCCTGAGGCTGTTGTGTGTGCTCTCCACTCGTGGAACAGCTTGATGGGCCGGGGCGAGGGGACTTTGAAATGAGGAACCGGTTAGCTTTCTATAGTGGTTGCGGGGCGTCTAGCGCCTTGCCTGGGACTGTCGGGCGGGTGTCAGGGCCTCTCCCTGCAGCACTGCAGAGGACTGGGAACGCCCAGGGGGCTGGGGTGATTCTTTCTGTGTGCTTGTTCAGCTGTTTCTATAGCCCCTTCCTCGAAAAAACTCAAGACATCATGCACCCTCTCTTTACTCAGTGGAAGCCCTCACAATGTTTCCTAGAGGGAATAGAATTGCTGAATCAGTCAATTGTCATTGCAGAGGTGCCCAGGAAGTTGTATTTAGACATCTGGTTAGGACAAAACCATGAAGTGTTGGATGAAGTTGAGTTAACAGAAAGTCTTGGGATATTAAAGAGAAAGTCGTGAGTCATGTCCTAAAGTTTAGGTTGAGAGAGCAGGGGAGAGTTTCTCTGAGCCCTGTTGAAACTTGTAAATTTTCTGTCATCAATTCAGTCCATAGGATTTTTTTCCATCACCCTTAAAATCTGGAGTGACAGATTTCACACTGGATCGGTAGTTTTGGTGATCAAGTGTCCCTGAAGGTTAGAATGATTGTTTCTTGTTCTGCAAGGACTCTCAGGTGTGGTAGCTCATCTGTTTAGCTAATCTCTGTATGCTTTTCTCAGCCTCGATTCTCTGCTGTCCACGCAGGCTGGGCACAGCTGACCCCCTGGGTCTGCTGCCAGCAGGTGGATGGTGCCTTGTCTTCCACTTGGTGGCTCTGGCATCTGTGCTTGAATGACATGGTCGCCTTGGGCAGAGCCCGGCAGAGCCTATGGACTTTGTGTGGGGCGGGTCAGTAGAGGTCACAGCTGCGCTCAGATGGACAGGGTTCCACAGACAGGAGGAAGCAGCTCGGGTCCAGACTCTCTGGTTTCCACCTGCCGTCTCCCTTTCCTCGGCTCTTGCATTCACCCTTTGTCAGCCTTTACTCGGTCCCTTTCAGGCTGTTCAGCCCAGTTCCTCACAATGAGGGAGCTTCCTATCTGCCCAGGGGCCACAGTGGGCAGCCTTACTGAGCCAGGTGCTGCCCCCGGGGACTGGGCAGGGGTGGCAAGGGGTGGCAGCGGTACCAGCGGAACTGGAGTTGTGAGTCCCGGGTTGGGTCCCTGGTCACTGGCGGTTGGAGCATTGGTATGAGAGCTGATGGTCCTGCGCCCTTGTTTGTTCTGGTCTTTACTTTGTTTTTTGTTTTTTGAAGCTGGGGGATGAGGAGTGGACATGGGGCGGGCTTCTCCTCCCCTGCCTGCAGCACCAGGGCTTTCTGTGACATTGTCACTGTGGCCTGGCAGGGCTGGCCTCCATGGCCAGAAACGGGGCGGTCTCTACCCAGGGACTCCTGCAGCTCTCCCCAGCTAAAGGAGGGCTGGCTGTCTTTTACCAAAGTAGACAGTGAATGCAGGGTCATGTGGCAACATTACCAAAAAGATGGCATCCCAGAACAGGTGTGGTGGCTCTGCTCTTCAGGCTTCTTACCGTGAAATTGGGTGGGCAGTGCCCACTGTTCAGGGAGCTGGAGATGCAGTTCTGAGGAGTGGGCACTGGTGGCCTGCTTGCCTCCCTTTGCAGCTCAGCGTTACCCCTGAGGCCAGGGCCAGCTTCTCACTTTTTTTTTTTTTCTTTTTTTTGTGAGGAAGATCAGCCCTGAGCTAACATCCATGCTAATCCTCCTCTTTTTGCTGAGGAAAAACAGCTCTGGTCTTTTTTTTCCTTTTTTTTCCCCCAAAGCCCCAGTAGGTAGTTGTATGTCATAGCTGCACAGCCTTCTAGTTGCTGTATGTGGGACGCGGCCTCAGCATGGCCAGGCAAGTGGTGCGTCAGTGCGTGCCCGGGATCCGAACCTGGGCAGCCAGTAGCGGAACGCATGCACTTAACCGCCAAGCCACGGGGCCGGCCCAGCTTCTCATTTTCTAAACAATGCACTTGAAGGGCCTCTTGGCCTTGGCTTTTCCACCTTGTTGTCATCTTCACATTCTCGGGTTTGGGGAAGCTAGAGCTTGGGGGTTGGGAGTCATGCCTGGGCTCTCAGCGCCTGGCCCGCAGCCTGCTCTGTCCCAGCAGTGAGTTTCGTGGTGGAGCCGAGGGTCAGCCTCTAACATAATGGGCTGGGAGTGGGAAGTGGCCACCTGCTCCTCTCCTCTGGAAGTTACTTTGGGGAAGTGTAAAGGGAAATGAGCAGGAAGGAAGGGTGCATCATTCCTCTCCAAGTCACATTGAAGAGTTTAGTGGGACGATGGAAGCTCTCCTGAACTGCTCACCTGAGAAGGCTCAGGCACATGATCAGCCTTTCTGGGTCAGGAATTGTTTCTGCCCTCCCTGTCCGGAGCCGAGGCCACACCTTGGCCTCCATCTTCATGGCCCTGGGACTTCTGGAACCCTTTCATGTTACTAGGGATCCCAAAAAGCTTTTGTTTATGTGGCTTATACCTATCAATTTTTATTGTGCTCAAAATTAGAACTGAGAAATTGAAAAAAAAACTCGTTCATTTTAAAGATTTTATTTATTTTATTTTTTCCCCCCAAAGCCCCAGTAGATAGTTGTATGTCATAGCTGCACATCCTTCTAGTTGCTGTATGTGGGACTCGGCCTCAGGATGGACGGAGAAGTGGTGCCTCAATGCGCACCCGGGATCCGAACCCGGGCCACCAGCATTGCAGCGCGCGCACTTAACCACCAAGCCACAGGGCCGGCCCCTCGTTCATTTTAAAGTAACAATAATAAACCCGTTACATGTTATCAAAAATAACATTTTTATGAAAATTAATTTTTCCCAGACAACAACATTGTAGTAGTAAGTGGTGTTTTAGATTTCTGCTGGTCTCTGATGTCTTCCTAAACGGAAGACAGCTGGGTTCTGGTTTGCCTTCAGTCTGTGGGGATGTCACCATTGCGCAGCCTCCATAAAACCACACTGCACGCTCAGGAGAGAAGGCGTGGGAAGGCATGCGCCATCTGAGTGTGTGTATGAAACTCCTTCTGACCCTGCAGCTGCCCTTGAGAGGGTCTTGGGACCTGCAGGGGTATGGCCCACACTTTGAGAGCTGCTGTTTTAGGAGTTGGAGATGAGGGTAATGTGTGTAAAACCCAAGGGTTCCGTGGTGCCTGGGAGATGGGGCTCTTGAGGCCTGTTAGGAACATGCTGGTGTGGAGGCCAACGAGGCTGGTCTGGGCCAGCTGCTGTGGTTCTGACCGTGGGAGCCTGCCTGCTCTCCTTGGTGATGTCACCGTTGCTCAGTACCCAGAAGGATGCTGGTCCTTGCAGCCCTTACTTGGCTTTGCTTTGTGGATAGAAGCACATGGGTCCTGCTCTGCATTGCTCTCAAAACCTCAGATAGCAAGATGAGGCTGCGAGACTGCTGTGCTGGGCCAAGCCCGGGCTGCCTGGAGGCCACAAGAGGCTTCTTGGAGCACCTTGGCATACCTCAGTGCTCATGGCTCTCTCTCTGTCCACAGTTTGACGAAGGCCGGAACAACTTTGAGGGGGAGGTCACCAAAGAGAAGCTGCTGGACTTCGTCAAGCACAACCAGCTGCCACTGGTTATCGAGTTCACCGAGCAGGTGTGGCTCTCCTGCTGGTCCTTCCCGTCGAGCGTGGGGGTGGTGTGGGAGGGTCGTGAGGTCCTGGCCCTGGGGATGACCCCCCTAAACTTAGAGAAACCCCATTGTTGCTCCACTGAGAATATCCTGTGTCACTAGCTTAGTTCATAGCTCAGACCCAGTAACCTATGTTTATAATACAGACGGCCCCCAAGATTTTCGGAGGTGAAATCAAGACGCACATCCTGCTGTTCCTTCCGAAGAGTGTGTCTGACTATGACAGCAAACTGAGCAACTTTAAGAAAGCTGCTGAGAGCTTCAAGGGCAAGGTGAGCTGCTTTTTGCTGCTGGCTCGCAGAGTGGCTCTGCCCAGGGTTGTAGGGCAGTCCTGAGGCTTCCTCCTGTTTTCAGGATAGCCTGTTCTTGGGGTCCAGGCTGTTGGGGAGGGGTCAGCCGGGTCATCCTCCTCTGCTCCCAGTCAGCAGTCGGTCTGGCGGTACCTGAGTTTGAGTTGGAGGAGAGAAGCTTCAGTGGCACAAGTCTGCTTCCCGGTGAAGCAGTGAGAGAGAGCAGAAACGAGGCCTTAGACCTTCCGTCTTCCCAGTGCTGCTTTCAACCTCCCTTTTCTCCCCCAAGATCCTGTTTATCTTCATCGACAGCGATCACACCGACAACCAGCGCATCCTCGAGTTCTTTGGCCTGAAGAAGGAGGAGTGCCCTGCCGTGCGCCTCATCACCCTGGAGGAGGAGATGACCAAGTACAAGCCAGAGTCAGACGAGCTGACAGCAGAGAAGATCACGGAGTTCTGCCACCGCTTCCTAGAGGGCAAGATCAAGGTGGGGGAGCCGTGTCCTGGGGTGGGGCCTGCACTGGCCTCTTGGCACTTAGTGTCCGAGGCTTCCCGCGGCTGCATCCTCAAAGTGTCTGAAAACGTGAGCATAGAATCCTGAGGACATGGCCCATAGACGGTGTAAAAATGGTTGTCCTAGTCCCACTGCCTGGGGAGCACGGAGCAGCCCTGACTTCATGGGCTTGGTCCTCTCCTGAGGCTCCATGAGCAGTTCTGGTCAGCTGAGGGCAGTCATGTTCCCCCACGAGGGGGCTGGGGGCTCTGTGGGGCAGTGGGGTCTGTGGCAGGCCCGCCGTCCCTGACCCTACTCTGCTGCCCTCTAGCCCCACCTGATGAGCCAGGAGCTGCCTGAGGACTGGGACAAACAGCCTGTCAAAGTGCTGGTTGGGCAAAACTTTGAAGAGGTTGCTTTTGATGAGAAAAAGAATGTCTTTGTGGAATTCTGTAAGTGAAGCCTCTTTAGCTTCCTGGGTTTGTCTGTTCCACAGAGAGCCTGGGCTGGGGCGGGCGGGAATGTGGCTTCCTGGCCCAGGGAGACTCAGAACTGCTTTCTCTCAGACGCCCCATGGTGTGGTCACTGCAAACAGTTGGCTCCCATTTGGGATAAGCTGGGAGAGGCGTACAAGGACCATGAAAATATCGTCATCGCCAAAATGGACTCGACAGCCAATGAGGTGGAGGCGGTCAAAGTGCACAGCTTCCCCACACTCAAGTTCTTCCC